GCTGCTGGGCAGGCTTCAGGGAGGACATCCTGGCCGTCTTCATCTTCGAGTGGCTCCCCAGGAGCAACCCCTGAGATTTATTGGGGTGGTGATTCTGGAAAACAGTGGGGGTGGGGAAGGGAAGGCAGCCAGTAAAGGCTGTGTTGTCGACTCTCCTAGGGCTGTGGGTGAGTGGAGCTTAGTTCCTGGAGGACCCCCAGGAATCAGTGTAGAATACACACATCAGAGATCTCTGAGCCAGGGTGAGGGAGCTGAGCTGCTTGTGCACCCATCACTTCTGGGGGGCTGCTAGTGTTGGGGCTGATGGGAATTCCTGAGCGCTTCTTGTCTGCCCTGCAGAGGAAAGCGTGGCCGTCCGTGGCTGCACAGTGAGTCCTTAGCCGAGAGACGTTGATACCAGCCACTGGAGCCCACGGAGGTGGTAAGGCCCAAATACCCTGCCCGGGGTCTCTGAAAAGGGCTATGGGTGGGGTGCCTAGACCAAATCCTGGGAGGGGGACATGGGAGCAGACAGGACTGGTACCTGGGCTCCTGGAGTGTGGGCCAAGAAGACTGCAAAGCTCCCACAGAAGTGCAAATGCCCTGAGCCGTGGGCCAGCAGACAGGTCCTGTGCACACCAGTGAGGTGGGGCCCTGGGCACGGGCGGGGCTTCCAGTGCGCCAAGAGGGTCTGGGGTAGAGAGGAAGACGAGAGTGTGGGACCCTGCGGCCAGAGGACATGGTGGGCTGGGACTTGGGCTACAGTTGCAGTGGGGTTGAGATCAGTGTTCAAAGCCCGATAGGACAACTTGGAGCAGGTTGGGCTGAGGCAGTAATTCCATTACCCCATTTTTCCCGGTGCAGATCACTCTCAGGGATTAAAGGGGGAGTTTCCTGGCAACCCCCACTACCTCCTACACAGGCACTCCATTTGTGTGGTGTAGGATGCCTGGCGGCTACATAAGCAAACGAATATGCTTCATCCCTGCCCTTTTGTTCCCAGTGGCAGGGTCCTCTGTTCACACCTGACCGTCAGTGCTAAACAGGGCCGCCGCTGAACCCGGTCACCCTCTCTTTCCAGTCCCTGGGACTGAATGGTGGTTTTCTGCAGGCCCTGGACCCTGATGGTACCACTCCTTTTCTCTCGGCTGACTCACTTCTTGTTCTACTCTGTTGCAGGCAGTGTGGAAGACAGAAGGCAGAGCCTGGGTCTGAGTACTGGCTCTCCACTGGCTAGCTGGGTGAGCAGATGCCACCTCTCTGAGCCAGAGAGCTCCCCTGTGAGAAATGGGGGATTCGATCTGTCTCTCAGGGGTGCATGGGCAGGAAATATAAAATATCCACAACGCCAAAAGTTGTCAAAGAAGAGAAAAAACATATATATATTTATATATTTGTGTATATATATGTGTATATATGTATGTATGGGAAAACAGCTGACCAGATACCCACCCTGGGAATGAAGAAGGGGGGCAGGAAATTTCCATTACTACCATAAACAAACACCTTTGTATGTTTGGGATCTTTCTTTACAACCAGCAAGAATACCTTATAAAATTAAAAGAACCAGTAAGGACTTCTAAAGTGAGTTCAGGGCCAGAAGTAGGGCTAGGCAGAGCTCTGGGCAGTGGCTGCTATTTTAAAAGGACATGGGGTGGCCTGCTGGTTGTAAGAGAAGACTCGTGGTACTTTTCCAGAAGCTGACTTGCATAGCACTTCAAAGAAGATTGAGAAAATGTCAACAGGATGAATCAGAGAATTGGGGAAAGGGTCCCCTGGAGTGGGGGAGCACAGTGGAATGGCTGGTGCCCACGCAGGCCCCCTCACCCAGTTTTTGCCTCTAGGAGTCCGTCTACAAGCCTCTTTGGAGAACCGCCCTCGGTCTACTTGTTCTTAGCTCCCAGAGGCAGAAAAAAGAGGCCAGGAGGTGCCAGAGTTGACATCATGGCAGGATGGTTCCTAGCTGCTGACCGCCCAGCTGGAGTGTGCAAGCCCCGCTCCCTATCCTGGGGCTGGACAACCAGGAGCTACAATCTACACTCCACGGTTCCCCCAGGATCAAGCTGGGAGCTGACCTGAAAGTGTCCCTTTGCTTGGTTGTGTCCCCTTCCCTATCCTGCTCCCCTACCGCTCCCCCACCTGTGTCCTTAATCACCTGCATGAGAACACTCACCCCCAAGTCGGCTTCTTGGGGAATCCATCCTAAGAGAGGCAGCGACCATGGCCAGCCCGATGGAACTGAGACTGAGCGAGGAGACAAGACCACCTGATAGGCAGGAATTGTCATAAAGAGAGTTCCCGGTGAGGAAAGGCTCAGTGAGGAAGCCGCTCTTGCCGCTGCCACATGGGACCTGTAGGAGAAGCCACCTGCTGGTGCGTGCTGGAGAACACGAAGTGGGTCATGCCCCCTCCCGCCTCCCCTCCTCAACCAGGGGCAGGCCTCAGTTGGCACATCCTCCACATGATGGCAGGGAGCCCAAATGACCATCAGTGGTACCACCGAAACCTACCAAGGAGAGGGCATTCTAGAGCCAGCCCCTTCTAGCCCCACCCACCCACCCCTGCCCTGCAGGGTGGGCATCACAAAGTAGCAAATACCCATCAGATGCTCAACACCATTTTCAGGGCACTGTGGCCACTATGGAGAGCCCCCCCCAACCCCCCGCCAGCTCAGAATTAGGCAAGACAGTCTAAGAAATGGCTGTAGAGAGTTGGGTCTACAGCCCCCTTATGAGACTGTTCGCTAGTCCGTCATTACTCACCTGCTACACAAGAACTGGGTAGGCACTGGGGACACCATGGTGAAGAAAACCAGATGCAGTCCCTGCTCATAGTCCAGGGAGACCCAGCTCAAGAGGCGGTAGGACTTGATAAAGGCTATGTTTGGTGGCGGGGGGGGGGGCGGGGAGGAACTGCAGGATCAAGGGAGGCATCCTGGAGGAAGCAGCATCTACACTGAGCCTGCGGGAGACACAGGAGTTCACCAGGCAAAGAGGGGAGGGAGGCCAGGCCAGGGAGCAGCATGGACCAGGCCTGCAAGCTGGAGAGGCCTGGAAGAGGCAGAGGTGGGTAACAAGGGCTGAGTGGGCAGGGGTGACAGGCTTAAGGGTCCTGTGGGCTGGGTGCAGGGGCTCGGACTTTGTCCAGGAGCTGTGGGGACACACGGAGAGATTGAAGTTGGGGAATGACCTGATCAGGTTTGTAGTTTTTGAAAATTCCTCCCGGCTGCTGTATGGAGAAGGGAGTGGAGAAAGGGAGGCCAGTGGAGTAGGCTGCTGCCTCAGCCAGAGCGGTGGCCTTGGACCAGGAGGTGCCCTGGGGATGGAAAAAAGAGGACCAGTCCCAAGGATATTCGGGAAGTAACCCGGACAAGACTGGAGGACGGATTTTTCTCACCATCGGGGTGGACAAGCCTTCAGGAGTCTCTGCAATCTACTCATGGGCCTCAGAATTTGGGACTCCTATTTCCCTATCCTCTCCCCATCAGCACACCACTCCTCTCTACCGAGACTGAGGATGGGGAGGCAAAGGGGGGGGTGCCTCTGTTCGCGCAGCCCCTGCGGGGCTTTCCAGCAACTGTAATTCTGGTCCTCACCAGTAGGTGGCAGCCCAAGATAGAAAGGGAAAGGCGGCAAGGTTACCCCTGCCCACCCAGTTTGGGGAAGGGTGCTGTGCTTAATGGACGGGAGGCCTGGGACTTACGAATGGGCGATGGATTTACTATCACATTAACAGCATCACAACATCAGCACCTGACTTCTAGGGGGAATTGTGGTTGTATGCTCTGTGCAGGGGTTTATATGAATTTCATCCTCATAGCCCCATGTAGTGGCCCATTGTTGTCTCCTTTTACACTGGAGGAGAATGAGGCTCAGAGAGGCCAAGAGACTTGTCCAAAGTCACACAGCTAAGAGGCCTCAGATTAAGGGTTGGAATCCCAGCCTATCTACATCACTCCAGGAAACACCCTTCAGAAATTCTTGCCCTGAAACCACTCCGGGGTGAACAATGTTTTCTCCCTCCCCCTCTCCCTCCCCCACACCCACTCCTTCTCTTCCTCCTCCTCCTCAATGCCTCTGGAGACATTTGAAAATTGCTCAGAGCCTCTGAGTCAACGTTCTCAAAACCCCCCATTTTGTAAGCCTTGCTTCCCTCTACAAGATTGCGGGTCAAGAAGGAGCAGGTGTTTATGTCCATTTCACAGATGGAGAAAGGCTACAAGCTGTGCCCAGGCCACACAGTGAGACAAGGCAAAGCTGGATCTTGACCCCACACAACCAACTGTCTTTTCATAAATCATCTGTGTCTGCATCCCAAGCCCCTCCTTGGTGCCAGGCCCTGTGCTAGGCTCTGGAGCCACCACCCCCATTCCTGCCTATGGCATGGGGTCCAATTCTTGCATTGCAGACCTACATCCCGCCAGGAGCTGGGCTTCGGACCTTCAGCCAATCGAGGGCTCCAGTCAACTAGGCTTTTAGTGAAGCTCATAAGTCATATTTCAGCAGGACTCCCAGCAGATGGGGAAAAATTAATAAACGGGTAAAATTCCTTTTCTCTCCTCCCATCCCACCAAGAGCCAAGCTGGTGGATAATTATGGGATGGCTGCCAAAGGAGTTTGATCTTCAGGGTTGGCGTATGGCATTTTTACTGCTCTGGGTGACAGCCAACTTAGTCACTGCCCTTTGCAATTTTGTGGATGCTCTCCTTACTGCAGGAAATCAGAAGTGTACCCCAGCCATGACTGAAACAGGGAGAAAGGGAATGGGGGGGGGGCCGCTGAGGCAGGGGCTGGACCCAGGAGAAGGAGCAAAGGAAGAAGCCACATTTTTGCTTGCCCGGAGGGGACAGAACTAATACTTGCCATGCAGGGAGCTCTTGCAATGAGCTAGGGCTGTGTTAGACACTCTACATACTTAGACTATTTCATTTCATCCCCCATCGTGTACTCACCCACTCCACCTTTGTTGTGTGACTGCAATGTGCCAAGCTCTATTTTACACCCAGGGGGTATACTCATGAACAAGACAGACCAGGTCCCAGCCTTTGTGGAGCTGCCATTCAGGTGCAGGAGCTGAACAATAAACACAGACATAACATCATTCCAGTTGCTGATAAATGCTATGGAAAAAATAATAAACAGCCCAGGAGGCCGGTTTCCATAGAGTGAGGGCAGGCTTCTCTGAGGAGGTGATAATGGAGCCCTCGGATAAAAAGGGAAGAATCATGCAAGATTTAAAAATTGAGTTGAGGGAGAGAGATGGGAAACATTCCAGGCAGAGAGAACAGCAAGTGCAAAGGCCCTGGGGTGAGGATGAAGGGGATATGATCCAGGAATTGTCAGGGAGAGAAGGGAATGGGAAGTGAGGTCTGAGAGGCAAGCAAGACTTGATGGGACAGAACTTTGGACCATGGGGAATTTCATGCTACGGGCAAAGCTGGATCTAGAATACCTCATCCTGACCCTTTGCTACCAACTGCCATTTCATAAATCATCTGTGTCATAAATCATCACCACCTCCTAGCCAGGCAGTGTGCTAGAGGAAAGGGAGGGCTGCAAGTTTCCCCCTGCCCAGCCATCTCTTAAGAAAGGGTGTTCTGCTTAGACCAGTTGCCCAGGACTTGCCAGTGGGCAGTGGTTTCATCCTGAGTAGCCTTGACCGCATTTTAACTACAGCCCCTAACTTCTCTGGAGAATTGCTGTTGTCCAAATCCTCTGCCCAGAGCTTTACTCAAGTCACCTCATTTCACCCTCAGGCCCCCATGGGGTCGGGGGCCATTGTTTCCCCCCTTTGGCCAAGTGGGGGAGTATAAAATGGAATGACGTCATCTGATTTATGCTTTAACAGAACAATGGCCCCAGCAGTACACACCTACCTCTTTCAGCCGCCAGAGCAACCCTGTGCCATGTGATAATAGCAACACACACACACACACATGAAGAAACTGAGGCTCCCAGAGGTCAGATCATGCCCCACCCCCAGGTCACACAACTGTGAGGAAAGAGCTGGGATTCAAGCCCAAGCTGGTTTCGGCCTCAACCTCGTCCCATGCTGGCGATAAAAAGAAGGAAGGAGGGGTAGCAAGTGAGGAGGAGGGTAACTGCTGGGGGAACTTTGAGAACTTGGCTCTGAGCCTGGAATCCGGCCTCCAGATATTTTCCTGGCCCGAGCCCAGCCCAGCCCTCCCCGCCGGGACTACCGTCCTGGTGAATGAAGTACTTGGCTCTCAGAGTCTCTGCTCTGGGAGAGCCCTTGTCCCCAAGTGTCTTCAAAGATCTATTATAAATGGGGGCTGTCCAGCCCGAGTTTCACAACCCCACACAAGCCTGCCCCGAGCCCCACACCCCGGCTGTCCCACGCAGCCTCCCCTGTCTGGGACCTGTCTGCAGATCAGTGCCCAGCCTGGCCAGAAGGCCAAGTCCTGCCTGCTGGGCCAGCCAGAGGTCACCCGCTGTACCCAAGCTGCCGGCCGCATGGTGAGAGGATCGCTTTGCTTCTCTCCCCGCTCCAACCCTGGATGCCTCAGTTTCCCCTCCTGAGAGAGGCAGGGGTATAAGAAGTGAGGAGCTACAGAGACCACAGGACGTGTGAGCCATCTGGAGACACCGTGCCCCTCTGACAGGATCAATCACCCTAAGTCTGTCTGAGGAGCTCTGGGCTTAGGAGCAGCTGTGAAAGCCTCCTTTGTGCCTGAGGAGAATGAGCCGCGAGAGCACGGGGGGCCCTGGCCCGGGGAACCCCCTGGGCCCCAGCTCCTGAGAACAGCATCAGCAGGGAGGACCCCCAGCCTGGCCCCCAAGGTCCACGCAGGCCTGGTGCCCACTCCATGCCATGGGAGCGGTCCATGGGAAGAAGGTAAGAGCCCCTGAGAGTCCTGCCGGGTCCGTGAACGTAGGGAGGGAGGCTTCATCTGGCAAGTGGGAGCCCTCCCCCACCCACCTGCAGGCTGCGTGGGGCCTCAGTCAGGCACTGCCCACCTGCCTCCCTCCTTGAGCTCACAGCCAAGATTTGCATCGAGAAACTTGGCTGGGCTTAGGACAAAGCGTTCTGATCTCTCCATCTCAACAGACCTGGGGACTGTCCACTCTCACAGGCTGGTCTCACACACACACACACACACACACACCTCTCTACTTCCACACATACAGGCTCCATGGCCGCCCCTTCCCCGTGTGCCACGGGAGTGTCCGTGGGCAAGTTACTGAAGCTTTCTGGGACTCCTTTCCCCATCTGTAAAATGGGGGCAAGAGTCACTACCTCAGAGGCTTTTGGTGAGAAATGAATTAAAATGCATGTAAAGTGTTTTGAACAGTGCCCAGCACATAGTGGGCTATATATAAGCTATGGTCTGTTATTATTAGAATTCTCTTCCTCTCCCTCTGCATCACCTTCTTCATCTGGGCTCTCAGTTGGGGATTTGTATGCATAGCCTATGCGGTGTTTCTGAAAATGTGGTCTATAGACCCCCTGTGTCTGCCTTAGAGAGGGGGCATGGGAAGGGGCTTGCTCAACAATCTCCTTCTTGGGGTCCCCCAGACCTCTGGGATCAGGGGGAAGGGGAGGCAGGGCTCCCCGGGGATTCTTTTTTTTTTTTTAGAATTTTTATTTATTTGACAGAGAGAGACACAGCGAGAGAGGGAACACAAGCAGGGGGAGTGGGAGAGGGAGAAGCAGGCTTCCCGCAGAGCAGGGAGCCCGATGCGGGGCTCGATCCCAGGACCCTGGGATCATGACCCGAATCGAAAGCAGATCGCCCGGGACTGTGTTCCCAGCGGTGTGGTCAGGCTGCCCGGGGCCCTGCTCCTGCACCTCCCTACTGTGCCAAGGAGCTGAACCCCTCTGGATCTCAGCTCCTCCCCTGTAGAGTAGGGCTGGTCCCCACCTCCCGGGAGGTGCCATGACATGATGCTTCCTGACACCCAGGGGGCCTCAATAAACAGGGGCTCTAATCCTCAGACAGCTCGTGGTTCTGCCCGACTCTGCATTTTCTGCCAACCCTGCCCATCCCACAGTTTTCAGATTTTAAGTAAGACGCATCATGGACCCCATGGAGGAAGCTTTCTGGACCTCAGTTTCCCCATGTGGAAAATGAGTGTTGGGTGAGAATAACCCCTGGGGTCTCCTTGCGCTGGCTTCTGCTTCCCACCGCCTCTGTTTCAGGTACAATCAGGCCTGGAATCTCCTGCCTGCCCTCAGCACCCCCAGCAGCATTATCCTAAAAGGTCGATGTCCTGGGGCTGTCCCTTCTCCCTCCCGCAGTGGCCAGCGTGGGTCACCTGCAGTTAGGGCAGGTAGATGATCTTTGAGCCCTGGCCCCACCCAACCCCTTGCAGGAACTCTCCTCCAGTTCCTCTGCTCTCCCAACGGAGAGTGAGCTCAGCCTCTAGATCCTGCCTGAAACGTAAACATGCAGAGAGTCACCTTGGAGAACAGCTTCCCAGGCCTAGAAAAGACCCTGACAAGGTCTGGCCTAGGAAACGCAAAGGCAGCTCACGGACTGCCTCTCTCTCTTCTCTCAGCCACAACAAGCATCACAAATCAATCCCTGCACCCTCTCCCACTAGGGCCAGACGGCCTCAGAATCCTCCTCAGCACAGCAGCCCAGGAGGCTCCCTTCCAGTCAGAACGAGCCCCGAGACTGGCAGCCAGGCCTATCCTGGGCCCAGCCCCTCCTCCTGCCCTTCAGCGGGGGGGAAGATCCCAGAGCAGAGCGAATGGGAACATGGGCTCTGGGGTCAGACAGACCAGAGTCAGTTCCTCCACACATACCCTGTGACCTTGGACAAGACAAGGCACCTTTCTGAGCCTCAGGTTCTGCCCCAATTAACTAAAGATAATCATCCTTCTCACACTGTTGTAAACGCTAAATGATATCATGTCTGGGGCCAAATAGTTGCTCAGTGAACGTTGTCTCCGTGGGGGTTTGATCCTTTCATACCTGCGCCCTCTTTGAGCCACCCAGGGCACTGCTATCACACCCACGGCAGATGAAAACCCTGAGTCGGGAGCAAACACGATTTCCCCCAGCTGCTTAGGGGTGGAGCCGGCCCGGAGATAGTTTGTGAGCATGTCCAGGCCAGGCCCTTTGTGGGGCTCCCTATCTGTGGATCACCCCCCACCCAACTCCCCACATGCCTACTGCTCTGTTTCTGGAGGCAAGAGCCCAGCTGGTCTCTGTGGGATGTCCGTGACACCCACTGGCCTGTCCTATAAAGGTCACAGTGCTGTCCTGGGGGCTTCTCAGACCCCCTCCCACACTTAGGGCTTAACCATAGTTCTAATAAAAAGGTCTGGAAACCCCCTGGTGATGTGGTCCAATCCCCTCCCTATTGTACAGCTGGGAAGACTGAGGCCCAGAGAGCAGAAGGACTTGCCAGGGCCATGCAGCCAGGGTCAGGCCATTTCCACAAGGCCCGGCAACTCCAGGCCCAACTCTGGAAGCACACAGGAAGGCAGTGGGTCTCCTTCCCCGGCACCATGAAGGGTGGGACCAAGCTGCCCTCAGAGAGGACTCCTGCCCACTGAGTGCACAAACGTCCGCCCTTCATTTGCTCAAGCCCACATTTGTCCGCAAGCCTTCATTTGCTCCCACCCCAGGCTCCCATTAACAAACATTAACTGGGTACCTGAGCTGGGAGCTGGGCCAAGGAGGGAAAGGCATCCCTGCCCTCACAGCAACTCTCACGGACCTCAGACCCCAGCTGACGATCCACGGAGACCAGGGGTCAGGGCCCTCCGTCCTCAGGTCCCCGTCAGCAGCCAGTGTCCCTCCCTCAGGAAGGGGACAGGCCCACAAGCTGTTCCAGGCAATGCCTACGCAAGTCCAGCGCCCCAGATGTGATCCCAAGTCTACCCATAAGGCTGCCAGTACTAAAAACAGATACTAAATGATATCCCGGTATCAGAAAACGTTACTCGTAACAGCACACAATGCACCACAAGCTTCGGCAAAGGTTGTCTCAGGCAGTATTCCCACAGCTCCCTGAGGTGGGTACTTGCATTACCCAAACAAACAACCAGAGGCACAGAGAGAGTAAACGAGAATAAAGGAGAGCTCAAGGCCACCGGGCTAGTAAGCAGTGGAGTCGGGATTTGAGCCAGGCAGCCTAAAGAGCCTGGACCCCTCAGCCAATGAACCGCTCTGCTGGCGTGTGTGAGGGTGGGCTCTGGAGCAGGAAGCACAGTGTTCAGTCCCACCCGGGTCCCCTGTCAGGTGCACCGGCTTATCCTCTCAGATCCTCAGTCTCCTCGTCTGCTACGTGGGATCGTGATTTCCCCTCGCACACCAGGATGAGCTGAGGTGCCTGGCCAGAGTCGGTGTCAGGGAATGATGGGTCCAGCTCTTAACCCTGCTCTGGAAGCTGAAGGGGGAGCTCCAGCAGAGAGGGGGCTGGCTGTGCCCCCCAGATCCCCACTGGAACCCCTTGAAGGTTGGACACCTAGCATGCTCTAAGACATCTCTCCAAACTCCGCACCACCTGGGTTTTTCACTTCCCTGAATGAGTCCTGTATTCGGACTCCGTGGGCGTTTGCCAAGTCACTCATCGCTCTGCATTCGTCTTCATTAGAAGAAAGTCTCCTTGACGGAAAGAAACGGAAAAAAAGATGAGAGATCCAGCTAAATTTGATAAATGGTCTGAAAGGGAGTGTTCGTTCTTTCCTAGTCCAAAAGGCGCCCATCTGGCTGGGCCCCACTGGCTCCCTGAACAATTATCCCCGCCGATGATGGATGGCTCCCGCTCAGCGGCACCCGCTCGGCGGGGCCTGAGCACCTCGTTAGGAGGCTCCTGCTGCCCCTGCCACGCCGCGGCCCCCACTCTGCCCACGGCCTCCGACTGCTTCTCTGAGGACAGCTGGGGCCCAGCACCCCCACTGCTCCCCTCATCCATGCGTGCAGGGCACACCCCTGGGGGTTCTGGGAGGAGAGACGAGCACACATGCTGCAATCGTGAGCACAGACTTTGTCATTCAGGTCCAGGCTCCCCCTTTTGACTCCATCTGTTCACCCCCTGCATGATCTCCTCCCCAGCCTAAGCAAATTGCTAAACACACTGTCCTCCCCTTCACCGTGAGCTAGCCTCTCCACCTCCTTCCCCACCCTCACAATAGCCTGGCCTGGAACCCTGCAAAAAGTTGGGGCTGAAATTTCTTCCCCGGGAAAGCCCAGGGACAGAGGGTGAGGTCTGGGAGCTGTGGAGCTAGGTTCTGGCAGCAACTGAAAGGGGCATTTGAAAGCAGGCAGAGAGACCTTGGGAAACAGGGAAAGGGCACTTTTCCTGTTCCCTAAGGCCTCCCAGTGGGGCTTTCCTTCTCCTCTGCCCTTGACTTCCCCAAGCTGGGTTCAGAAGCTGAATGCCCTGGGCTGCCCCAAATGGATGCACAGGCTGGGCACTGCACAAAGGCAATGGATTAGCAGGGGTGGAATCCGGTCCACTCTCGACCAGTGGAGCCTGGTACCCAGGTGTTAGCTAGATCTGCCCAGAGGAAAGAATGCTGCTTTTTGATTTCACAGTGCCATCACTCTCGGCACTGCAATCACCTCTTCTAGGACTAAAACTTCTCTTGTCCATCCTTATGGCTAGAAGCCCAGCTTAGGAGGGAAAGAAATCGAAGGAGAAAGAAAGGAAGAAAAATGCCAGCTCAGCTGACACTTGTTCTAGGAAGTCTTGCCTGAGTGGATCGCAAATGTCTACTCAGGGCAAGAGGCTGAGGTGGGGGTGAGGGAGAGCAAGCTTGTCTCAGGGCTGTATTTGCGTGAATAGGCTACAGGTTTTCCTAACCCTGGAAGATCACCAGGGATAGCTGGGAAGGGGCCGGAGAGATTAGAAGGGGATAAAGCTCCTTCAGACACCCCATGGCACCACCACTCCCCCTCCGAGTTCCCCGGACTAGGGCAAATCCCATTATGCTCTCGGCACTCTCCCCACCACACTGATCATGGCTGTAATTTCATCTTTAGTTCTGTGATTTATCCAAGAAGGAAGGGAGACAGTGTTTGACCTGTGGCTCGCCACCATGTCCCCAGCACCTAGCATATCATCAGTACCCAGTAAATTGAGGAGGGAAGGGAGAGAGAGAGAGACAGCGGCTGGGTCTCTGGGGAGGTAACTCAAGGGTGAGATGAAGGCCAAGCTCACGGAAGGATCCACGCAGAACTCAGGCTGCAAAGAAGGATGTAGGCTGGACCCTCAGTTTCTCCCACACATCCCTTCCTCTCCTTCCAACAGCTTTAAGACTCTGACCCAAATTCCCACATTCTCCACCTCACCTCCAGCTGCCCCCCAACACACACACACACACATTTTCCACCTGCACGACTTCCTGGCCAATGCAAAACCTCATGGATTGATTGTTCATCATTCATTCAACAAGCATTGGCTGGGCACTATGGGTACCAGGATCCCAAGCACAGGAGACAGAGCTGTGGACAGGACTCAGGCCCTGTGCTTGGGGTGCAGAGCCCAGCAAGAGAAAACTAAGTCACTGGGGATGACGGGGCAGGAGCTGGGTGCTCTGATGAGGGAAACACAGAGGAGCCGGGACACAGGAGGTCCACAAAGCAAGAAGAGCAGTCAGGAAGCTCCCAGACGCCCAAGCTGTGATCTGAGGAACGAAGGGTTAACGAGGTCAGGGGACTGGGAGAGGCTTCCAGGGGACACAACAGGACCTGCCAAGGCCGGGAGGTATGAGGGGCATGGCACGTCCCAGGAACTGAGAGAATCTCTTGGTCTGCAGCAAGTCTTCCTGGCCTGGTAGGGCCTCCCGATCCCTGGTTCTGGGCTTGGGGTCTGCTGTAGGGCTGGTTCAAGTGGGGCCCTAACTCCCCACTCCTCCCCCACCTACCCCTCCATTCACCTTGCCACAACACTCTCCCCCCAGAAAACCAACGATGTATCTGCTTTAGACTCTTCGGTCAAGGAGAACGTTCTCTTTTTTTCTCGCTTTTGCTCAAGTATTCAAAAACAGCTGAGAACCAAGCAAGAGAGAGGTGGAGAGGGAGAGACAGAGACACAAGACACAGAAGCCACCAACAAAGTCCCCTGGGAGCAGAATGAGGAGACCCCACACCTATCTTCCTGACCTCCGCCCCTCTGGGTGCCCCTCTGGGCCTCTTTTCCACTCCCATGTGTTTTAATGCCTCCAGACAGGAACAGGGGAGAAGGATCCAAGATGGTGGGCTTTACCTCATGCTCAGGCCATGAAGGGCAAACCTTTCCTGGGCAATAGATGGAGGACATTACCTTCATTCTTTCCCCATGTCACCCACACCTTTAGTCCAAATGTAT